CAGTTATTCCTCCATTATCATTCTTAGGAGGCACAGCAGAGGAGATGCAGATGCTCCCGTTTCCAAAGCAGTGTTGAAGTTTCTCTGAGGTACAGAGAAGAGTACAAAGAACTAGTCACCTCCCTTTCCCATTTTTGTCTTTTCTTCCACCAGGTTTGTCTCCCGACTTCACCCTTTTGTTGAGCTCTTCTTGGCTATCATTATCTTCAAGTTATTGTGATGGGTAAGCCCCATGTGCCAGTGGTCATAAGAGATTACACTTCCAGCCTACTCAAAGTTCTGTCTTCTACTCACAGAAAGCGAACCAATGATGTTCCATTCTTCTCCAAGATGAGCTGAGAACAGAATCAAAAAGAGACATGAGCGAGTGCAGTAGTGGCAGTAAAAAATGTTAATGACTGACTGTTAAAAGGAATACTAGTGGTCGAATGATAATGCTTTAAAGATATGTAGTGCCTGTTTCTGTGCTTATAAGACTCTAAAAGACTTTGGGAGAGGTGTAGGATAATGGACAAGTGCTAATGTACTAATGAATGATACACATTATCAATGGTGACTCTGATGTGGACATGCTTATAACTTGATTCAAGCTCTCTACTATGCATTTTTGTATATAGTTTAAATAGTCAATAAAATGTGTTGTTCACCAGCATGAGGACAGACTTCCCTCTCTCTACAACCTGAGTGCCGTCTCACTACAGTCACTTGTAATCTGGGAAATGTGGAGACCAACTTGTACACAGCAGACTGTCTCAAACAGCAGTGTGATAATGATCAGATCATGTTTTTCTGGTGATGCTGATTCAAAGATAAATATTGCCAAAATATCATAGATAATTCCTCTGCTATTCTCCAGAATAGTGCTTTAAGGTATTTTACATCTACCAGAGCAGAGGATGGGGCCTTGGTTTAATGTATCATCTGAAAGATGGTCCCCCAACAGGTCAATGCTCCCTCAGTATGTCACTGAAGTCTTGGCTTTTTATTTTGTGTTCAAGTCCTGGAGTTGGACTTGAACCCTAAACTTTGAGTTTCAGGTTCAACCAATTCAATCATGATTGACACTTTGCCTTAGGAACACATCTAAAAGTTTTTCTTACTTGACTATGTGTCTTGAAACATATTTATCATGTCTATAAACAAAGCAATAATGATAGGAAGATATAGTGGCCTTTGAAGAGGTACTGTGTAGATTCAGCAGAATGATATCATAACTCTAAGGGTTAAGGAGTTAAAATACACCCTCATTGTATACTTCAAAGTCTGACTTTACACTCACTGTGAACACCAGTCTCTGCTCTTTCAAGCTAACAACTGTACCACAACTTTACACCAATCTGACTGTACTTTGACGTCACACAATACACTATACATGGCAGCCTCTATATCTACACTTGGATTCTGTATATGCTGATCTCTGCCCTTGCACCCTGCACATGTATCTGTCTCTGTCAAATCCTAACTCTGTATCAGTCCAGTTTTTATACCTTGTTTATATATTTAGCCCTGCCTCTGTTACTTCTTCTCATCTGTCTCTGTCTTTCAATTGCATGCTTCTGTTTACACTTGCCTTAAGTACATCCAAAGTTATGCTCCGCAAATTTCTCAGTCCGACTTCAGTTTAAAAGTTTGAAGTGTGGTGAAAAAGAAATAATTTACAATTATTGAAGGATTCAATAGGGTAGACACAAAGAAACTTTCCTTGAGTGAGAAAACCCAGAAAGAGGGCACAATATTAAAATTAGAGTATGTCAATTAGGAATGATATCAGCAAGTGCTTTTACACAGGGATAATGGAAATCCAGACCTCTCTCGCACAAAAGGCTATGGGTGCTGAGTCAATTGCAATTTAATTCTGGAGCAACATTTTATTTTAGGTGAGAGTATCAAGGAACCCCAAACAAAGGTGGGTCTATGGTATTGAACTATCGATTACTAATGGCAGAACAGGCTCGATGGGCTGACTGGTCTACTGGTATTCCTACTTTCTTCAATCAAATCGTTCATTGAATGTACTATTAGTTCAAATTAAACATTAAAATATGTAGCATATTTCTATACAGTGTGCTACATTTAGTGCCAGCAACACCTGTGAATGTGTACCCACGATCAATATTCAGGCATTTCAGTTTTTACAGAATGGTGATTCTGAACAAAACCTTCCCCAAATACAGAAGTCTAAACAAAGTTTACATGTACAATCAAGAACTTTTTGGGCTAACATATACTGTACAAACTGTATTTCAAGTAACTCATTGCACAAACTAAACATATAAATTAATGAGACTAAGTAGTTATATGCTGCAATTCTTTGATTATTAATATGATTAGTCATTCAGAAAGTAAATGAAAAAATTTTGAAAATGACAACTAACCTTCAGTATTTATTCAGAAACGGATTAAAGAAAAACCATCATAATTGTGAATATACAGTAACTTCTTAAAATAAATTTTTATTGAATTACTAATTGCATTTTCATAAATGCGACATAAAACACATGTTTATTATCTGATGCAGTATTATAATCACGTGCTTGTAGATGTTACGATCCCAGTTGGGTGAAATACAGGACAAGTCAGATCTGTGTGAGAAACCTGGCTTAATCTTTGCACTTTGGTTACCGTAGTAGTCAGCTGCCTACGCATTCAGCAAAAAGAAAAATTCAACACTTTCTCCCAGTAATATCCTATACAGACACTGAATTCCAGTGAAGTATTACTCCTATCGGCACTTTAAAATGTCTTACTTAACTGAAAATGTTGCAAGAGTTTCCTTTCAGTGATTTTGTGCATATTTACCTGATGTGATTCTCTCTGTCTCTCCAGGAGAATCAGACTTGGGCCAACTCACTGATGACTTTTCTTACCGAATTCTAAGAAAAGCTCAGGGTTTTTTCATGGCTACTTGGACTGCCAGAACATCTTAAGATTTCTTTCAACTCTGATATCTTGGAGATTGTCAAAACTAAAACTGCACTTCTAGTGTTATGGGTCTTTTTAAAACCGAAAGAACTGCGGATGCTTTAAATCAGAAACAAAATCAGAAGTTGGTGGAAAAGCTCAGCAGATCTGGTAGCATCTGTGAAGAGAAATCAGAGTTAACATTACGGGTCCAGTGACCCTTCCTCAAGGTCACCACTTCACAGATGCTGCCAGACCTGCTGAGCTTTTCCAGCAACCTCTGCTTTTGTTATGGATTTTTGTTCTTCTGAACTGAACAGCTCGAGGTCCCTGGCCTCTCTTTGTATAAGTCATAAAATTCAACTTTATAAATGCTTCAGCAATTAGCTTCCCAGATAGATTACGTAGTAATTTATCTTAGGTCATATGCCTTTCTGAAAATACTGTTTTGCACTCACTGTTCAAACTGACCTTCTGCCCTTTAAAGAAAGTCACCTTTACATTTGCCTCGAGCATGGAATCCAAATTCCCAACTAATAATAACATATTATAGACTTTCATCACATGAACCAGCATAGGATTTTTCAGAACCATAGGTCTTTCACACAATGTCATATTCAAACCTTTGGGTTCTTTTGTTATTTGACTTCCACTTCAGCAACCTGTCCCATTTTTGTTACAATAAAGGCTGCACTTATGCAGTGTCTCAATCTCGGGTTGGTTACTCTGAAATTAATTTTCAGTCAACAATGCATGATTTATATTATCCATCCAAAATCAACAATCCTACAGAGAGGACAGACCACTTTATAAAGAACGGGAATGTGGGCTTTTGGGCAATTTTATAAAAACCTTGGTAATTGGTTGAAAAGCACAAGAAGCTTGGTAATTCTTTGACATTGACTTTGTGCTAATGTAAAGCCCAGTGTGGATTTCATAAAATTGGTTTTTCTCAACATTTATGAAAATAAATCCCTAAGCAGTGACTCAAAAGTGGCACTGTGCTAGTATCCTATTAATCTTTGTTGATATCTTAAGTTACTAATAACTTTGCATTTTAAGATTAAAACAGGAACTGCAATTAAGGCACATTTATTGGTTTATCATGTCAAGCAGGTTCAGCACGTAGCTTCATCTGATCCCAAAACAATTATAATTAGAGTAAAATCTGTCTATTTATAGTTCTCTCCACTGAACAAGACACAAAAAAGGACTCAGATGGTGGATTTTCATTTTTGGTTAAATTAGTAGTGACCCAGTTAATGTAATTTTAAATTATATTTGAACTATTGTTTGTATTTCTGGTAACTGCCCTGCATTCATTGCTGATTTTGTGTACGTTAAAAGCGCTACTTTATTTAGCAGGTGAGGAATGGATTGCCTTTGAGGTCTAAGAAAAGATCCATACCCCAAGTTCCTTTTCTCTCCACAGATACTGCCTGACCCACTGAATGGTGCCAGAATTCTTTGCCTTAAATGTATGCTTGCCTGTACAATTAGGTCAGCAGCACACAAGGGAGCTGCGACAGAAAACCCAATGTCAGATCTATCGAATCAGATCCGTCTAATCCAACCCTCACAGAAAATTTAAAATATCCACTGAAACTGCACAGATTACATCTTCTGCGTATGATTCGCCTCGTTATTGAGATTGTAAAACTGTTAACTATGAATGTTTTGGTTGATAGTACAATAACTTCATCACTCAATCTCTCTGCATGACGACCTTTACGGTAAGCAAATAGTTATCAGAGCTATTTTCGCACAAATGTTACCAATATATCCAAGCAAACCTTCCGGATTAAATCCATTGCAGGGTTTTGGTCCATATCATTACTCACAAAAGGAAGGACTGCAAATCCAAGGAAATTATTAAGAGAGAAACGCGGTATTGAACATCTCTGATTGAACCAACATGCTGGTTTATTAAATTGTCATCCATCGTGTGAAATGCCAGTTCGATATACCTTAATGCAATTACATGACAAGAAGTGAAAAGGTATTATAGTCATCGTTGTTTTTGAGCATGCGTTAATTTAGCTTCCCGCCCTTCGCACAGAATGAAACGACATTGAAGAAACATGCAAAACAAAAACAGTTTGTCATAAATTTTCCCCGACTTGATTTTTTTTAAAGGAGGACCAAACGGTGGGAGCCTCTCAAGGTGATGCTCACTCTACACTAAAACCCCTTAGAGTGCTCTACTATCGGTGCCGGATGCTCCGATCCGGTGGAAAACCTTTACAATTCAATCTCCGCTCGTAACAGGTTACTTCTCTGGCACCGACTGTATTTATAGGTAACTCAATACGGAAGAAATGGACCGACATGTGGCCAACAAAATTAGAAAAACAAATGTTCCTCGCAACGTCATAAGTAAGTTTTAGTTTGGTTGCAAAACATGAAAATCGACGACTCACCAAAGGACTGTCTGTGAAAACATGAACTTATTTCGAATCAAACTTGGGGGGGGGCTGGTGGGAATCAGTAATAGACTTGAAAGTGAGGGTGGGGGCTTTATTGACCAATTAGCGACCAAACTTAGCAGGTGAAGGCAGACAAAAAGAGCAGTTTCGCCCAAATACATTTGAAACCGGGTGTTTTTATGTGTCGCTATTTCTTTTCGATCTGGTAAATTGCAAACCGATCGGGTGCTCCGTGTTCTCCTGACTCCCGTCCCCCCAAAAAAAATCTACAGGAGCTCCGTACATCCCCCCCGCAAAAAACTGGAGGAGCTCCGTGCCCCCCTCCCCCCGCGAGCCTCCAACCGCTCCCCGCCCCCCCCCCCCCCCCCCCCGCGAGACTCCAAGAGCTCCACGCCCCCCCCCTCCCCCGCGAGACTCCAAGAGCTCCGAGGCCCCGGCGCGCGGCCGTGGCTGGTGCGCGCGGCCCGGCGGTTTTGAGAGCGGGAGGAGGGAGCGGTAATGGCGATGGCCGGGACTTACGGCCCTGGCACGGAAAGTGTCCTGTGACCCCCCCCTTCCCCCACTCTCTTCCCACGTCCTCCCCTCTCCCCGGCACTGATACCTACTGAAGGCGCTGTGGACTTTTGTTTTTCTTCAGAAGTTGCGAGAAGGTACTTTTCCTTCTTTTCTGAAGCGGTGACGGGAGTTCGGGGCTCTTGGACAAAGTAAACCGTGGGGCAAACCAGGTCTGAACTCTGACCGAGTGAACCAGTCTCCGGTTTTGGGGGGGGGGGGCGGGGACAGGGACAGAGACAGATTTGTTGGCGGTTGGGGCTCAGTCTCATCGCTGGGCTGGCCTGGACTGGGAGGGGAGGCGCTGTCTCCTGTCGGGACAAGGCGCCGGGGAGTTGCGGAATGTCTACATGGATTTGGGCCGCTCTGCCCTGAACTTCTCCGTCTTTAGTTGTAATTCCTTCCCGGCTTTCTTCCTCTCCCTCCCTCTTTCTGCAGATGGAGAGTTTCAAGCTGCCGAAGTAACCGCCGTCACTCCGGCGGCTTCTCGTCCAGAAGTTGTCTCTTGAACGCTTTGTTCAGTGGCGAAGCAGCCGATGGTAACCTCCTGGGGACGTGCGCGCAGAGTTTGCCAGTAATTCCCATCATAACACAGAGCCTAGTGGTCGGACATTTGATCTAACATGATGAAAGCCGAAGGTAAAGGTGAGAGGACGTTCAGGAGTGCTTCGCCCCACAGGAATGCGTACAAGACGGATTTTCAGGCTTTGAGATGCACTTTTGATGGAAGCAAACAGGAAACCATTTCTAAAATGAGTGCTCAGAAAACAAGTAGAGAGACTGGACACAGGGAAGAGATGAGAGGAAGGCATTTCGGTAATCGTGTACATAAAATAAAAAGCATGCTGCTACAAATGGGCAACACACCAGATGAAATGAACGAAACCAGCAAGTCTGATTTGCATCCAGTTTCTCCGCAAAAACAATCAAGTGGAGTTGTCTATAACAGTGCCCATAAGTCATATCAAAAGACATCCAGTTCAGATAAAACGAATAGCGAAGATGGGGATTTGGACAAAACTAGCATGGCTGAAAAGTTCTCGGAAACTAGAAGACTCTTTGAGCGTCAAATTGAGGAAAAGGTATTTGATAAAACCGCTCACAAAAACGAGAACAAAGTTTCAGTAATTAGTGTTTCATGCGAGAGTAGAAGGAGCGGCTCTTCATCTTCAGAAAGTGGAAGCAGAAAAGTTAAGAGCGACTTAAATCCCACTGTTCTATCCGACACCGATTTGAGAGATCGAAGTAATCTGAAAACCACTAGCGATTTAAAACAAAACCAACCTCGCTCATCTCTAAACGCTGGCCCAATTTCGAGACGATTAGAAAGCTTTCTAGCGGATAGTGATAGCGATGAAACAAACAAAGACACCAAAACAAAGACCTCTGCAACTGAGTATCAGATTTCTGGAGGGCACCAAATGCCGCCCAGCAACACCGTAAATAGTAAAAGTACGTCCCCTGCAGGAGACGATGAGGAATCGCCTCGTTCGATTTCAGCAGATCGACAGAAAACTAAAGATCGGAAAGAAGCAGAAATACCGATCTGTAGCAATAATCTCAGGACTTGTGAAAGTGATTACTGGGAATCAGATCAATGTCAAAAAAAATCCCTAAGTTTCTCGGAATCATCGTCCTCTTGTAAAACTGTTCCTGTAAGCAGCAGTGTCTTAGACAATAATTTGGATCGCCATGTTTCACATATGGTTGCAAACAAAGTAGGAGTAGTTCGGGCGGAGTTGGTGGAAGTTCAGAACGAATCTTCAGGAAGTGAAATTGAATTGGATAATGTTTTTATTGAGAGGGAACTACAGAAATCCGTGGAACCATTTGCTCAGAGCATTAGCCTTGAAGCAGGGCAGACGTATAAAACTTGTGACAGCAAAGAACAGGAAGACCAAACGTTTGAAGAGATACTGAACAGATCTGATGACAGCATAGGAGAGGAAGAAGATGAGGATATTGAGAACATCGAAGAGGAAGATGGAGTTAGTGAGAAGTTATTTGTTGGGTCAGAGGTTTGTGGAATAGAGAATGCTGCATTTGTGGATGATAAGGATACTGAAGAATCGTTACCAGAAGAAAATGAAAGCAAATGTGAGGATGAATATTTGTTTGAAGAGACCAACTATACTCTTGATGATGATTATGAGGAAATATCTGGACTTTCTGAGGAAGAGGATCCAAATTTACGCAGAAAAGTTCATTTCTCCACAGCTCCAATCAAGGTAGGTTTTTTTTTAGTTAAAAACACAACAGGAAGAGAAACAATGCAAATAATATTTGCAGGGGCAAGCACCCTCTTCTTTTTCATCCCTACATTGCAGTCTAGAGATTAGTCTGGTGATCCTTTCTGAAATCTCTTTGCAACTCCCATATAGCCACCTATATATTCAGTACCTGTGCACTTCCTTCCACTTCTGTTGACTGCTCCGAAAGCTTGTCATTTAAGTAAACCTGTTGGATGATAACCTGGTGTCGTGAGACTTGTCTGAGAAGCAAAGAAGAATCTTAATGGACTTGAAATGTTAACTTTGTTTCTCTCTACATAGATTCTGTTAGATCTGTTACTGCAAGAAATCAATAGAGTTTAACAAAGTGTATGGAAATTTCTCAGTGTCTGGATCAGAGGAGTAAAGATCTCCTTTTGTTTGTAAATTTAACCTGTAGGTACTCCATCTCTACACACGATTCAGAGAGCAGCCTCTACTCCACAAATTCATTTCTCCTTTGCTGAGTTTTCCATTTTATTATGTGCAGTTTTGAGGATTGGATTTTCATTCATTTTAACTAGATTGAAACAACACAAACTAGGAGATGGAGGCCATTTGACCCTCAAAACTGCTGTACCATTCAGTAAGGTCATGGCTGATTATGATTTGATTTGTGGCCTTGACTCCAAGTTTGTGCCTACCTCTAATACTGCTTGAATCCCTTGTTAGCCCAGCCTTAAAAATATTCAATGATCCTGCCTCCACTGCTCTGTGTACATTTTAATTTCAGCATCAACTGACAGATTACTGGTGACTGTGGAGCCATGATTGAATGGCAGAGCAGACTCGATGGGCTGAATGGCCTAATTTCTGCTCCTATGTCTTATGGTCTTAAACTTAACCTCCAGTGCACATATCGGTATTAATTGAGAATGCCCTGAACTCTGGTATTTGTCTTCTTTGTGCTGATGGTCAAACAAAACTATTTCCAGGTGTGAGGTCTGTTCATTTTCCACTGAAGATATTCCATGGAGTAGAATGATAGTGCAGCATCATTGACAGAGAGCAGCTCTCTGTTTTTGCGATCATATGTCATAGAGTCATACAGCACAGAAACAAACACTTCGGTCCAACTCGCCCACACTGATCAGGTTTTCCAATCTAAACTAGTCCGATTTGCCCGTGTTTGGCCCATATTCCTCTGAATCTTTCCTAGTCATGTACCTGTTCAAATGTCTTTTAAATGTTGTAACTGTATCTGCATCTACCACTTCTTTTGGCGGTTAATTCTGCATACACAGTACCATCTGTGTGGAAAAAGTTGTTCCTCAGGTCTCTTTTAAACCTTTACCTCTCACCTTAAACCTATATCATCAAATGCCTTCAGTTTATCTAATAGGTGTTGACTGTTTGCATAACAGAAATGATAGAAAGATGTTTAGCCCTGTCTGCCTGAGATCCAAAACAAAACTCTGCCATGTCTACTGGCTAAGTAACAGATTTTGATTGTTGATATGATTTGAATTTGAATTTTGAAGATTGAAATTTTAAAATTTTTAGCTAAGTTGCACTGTCTTGTTTCTGTGAAGCCTTTTGCAGCAAAGCCCTTTGCAATGAACTTGTGATCTGATCGCTAAGGTGCCTGGCAGCATATGACCATCATTCATGTTTCTATTTCCAATAGCTCCTTTAGAAGGAAAAAAATGAAATAATTCACTGATTCTTGTGAATTCTGTTCGCACTTTTTAGCAAGAAAATGAGAAATATTTATTCTGGTATGAAGTACTGATTACCTTGCACATCATACTCCATAGTTTGCACATTTGCCATATTATGATGACGTTCGACAAGCCAGTTCTAAATTTTGTCAAATATTTGATTTTATCATCTTTGGAGGATTCATTAATTACATTACAAGTCATAGAGAAACGTGAGGGTATGCCTGACTGTATCCGCAAAATAGCATTTTATATATTTTCTGCCATTTCACCTCATTTTCTAACATTACCAAATTTAAATAATTCTAGTGACACAGTTTAGGAGAGATTATTTTTAAAACTTAAAATTCCTTAAAAGACAACAGTTGAAAAATGCACAGCTTAAACTTTTGTTCCAAAATGCCCATAAGATTGTGCAACCACGTGAAAATATTTTCCCATGTTATTATGTGTCAGGTATGTCTTGTAAACAAATGTAGTGCAGGCACATATTTTTAACATTATGGCTTTGAAGATTCATTCAGTAGTTAACCTTTTAGACCAAAATTACAGCTAATAATAAGGTTGACAGTTACATAAATTATGGATAGGTGGAATTTAACTCCTATTTGGTAAGAAATGTTTACAATCCTTTAGCATCTTAATATGTTTAAGAAGCAGTTGTTTATTTGTGTAATGTGACTTACTACAAAATGGAAGTTTTACATTGAAAAATTGGACTTCACCAAGTTTGTGGTGATAAACCAATGAGAGTTTCACTGCAGGCTTGCATGTGTATGTACAGGAATATGGAAAAGGACAATCAGCATGATTTAGCATCTGTGACCAATGAGCACTTCAAGATATGAAATCGTGATTGTATTGAACTGCTGTTATATGAATCAAATGAGTGCTTTACTTAGTGGTGCATGCCTTAGATTGAAGGATACATAGATACTGACATCCTGGTGACACTGGGTCAACCAGTGCCACCTTTTTCACTTCATTCCTGTTTTAAAAAGACTGGATTTTTTTTTTCTGCAAAGTGCTTGGGCAAGTTTCCAGTCACATATTTGTGGATTTTCTGCCTTTCTAATTTGCAGAAATTCTCAAAATCCATTCATAGTTTTGCATTGAAGTAAAGTGGACCCGCTCACTCTAAATATCTTTGTTTAACTTTTCTCCAATTGCTTGAAAATAAATCCGTTACATGCTTTCAAACCATATCATATGAAAACATTAACTGCTGCATTTTTATTTTGAATTGTTCAGTTAAGCAAAATTTATAGTGAAGATGTGTTCAGCTGCAATGATTCTTTTGATAAGAAATTAGATTTAAAAAAATATTCAAAAATCAATATTTTTCTTTTTGAACTATTTTGAAGCATGGTTTAGTTTTATGACTATCTCCTTAGGACTCTTACCCAAGTGTGCTAAACCAAGATTTTTATTGATCTTAGACTATAGAATTTATCTCCCCAGTGCTCCTGATTTCCAGGACCCTCCTTTGATTGTGCTCAGCCAGATTTTGGAAGCTTTCTCTAACCCCTTGCATCTTAGCATAGAAATTATAGAATCCTCAGAGTGTGGAAACGGGTCATTCGGCCCAACAAGTCCTCACAGATCTTTGGAAGAACATCCGAATATCCCAACATCCCACCCAGACCCAGACCCATCCCCATTCCCTACGCTATCCCTGCATTTCCCATGACTAACGCACCTAACCTACATATTTCTAGACACTATGGCTAATCCACCAAACTTACATCTTTGTGTTTGTGGGAGGAAACCAGAGCACCCAGCGGAAACCCACGCAGACATTGGGAGAATGTGCAAACACCCCACGGACAAGGCAGGATTTGAGCCCAGGTCCCTGGCACTTTGGGGCAGCAGTGCTAACCACTGAGCCACTGTTGCATCCTTAGTTACAACAGTGCAATGGCTGGGAATTGAACCCTGGTCAACTGCTTGGAATTCAGCTATGCTCACCACTATACCACCATCACTCTGTTCCTAAAGCATTCTCTTGTAATGGTTTGCACAATACAAAGTTCAAAAATGAGGTATTTCACTGTAACATGTCTAAACTTATCCATAGAACTAACTTAGAGATAACACCGTGTGGAGCTGGAGGAGCACAGCAGGCCAGGCAGCATCAGAAGAACAGCAAAGTTGAAGAAGGGTTCCGACCTGAAACGTCAACTTTCCTGCTCCTCTGATCCTGCCTGGCCTGCTGTGCTCCTCCAGCTCCAC